ACCCGGGAAGAGAGCAGGGGGGGAGGGTGACCACGGAGCCACGGCTACACCCCCAGTCTGGGACCCCGGTAGAGAGCACTGGGGGTGTGTGTACACGGGAGCCGCGGCTACACCCGCAGTCCGGGACCCAGCACAGAGCACTGGGGGAGTGTGAACACGGGATTCCGCTAAGCAGCAGTCCCTGCAAGGTGCTTAGGATGTTAACTTCTTGGGAACCAGCAGTTAGCGTAATGGCTATGTCGCTGGACTCCCACGTAGTCAACCGTGGTTCGCGTCCCGGACCGGGTGGCTTAAAACTCACGCCGGGTGCGTGTGTGTGCGTGCCCAAGATCCCAAGAGGAGAATGGAGGAGAAGGGATTGCGGTGTGACCATCCCCTCTGGGGGGTGATTTCTCGCTTTCTGTCTCTATGTCTCTCTGTCTGTCTGGCGAGCGCACACGCCCTATAGCAAAAACATCTCCCAAAAAAAAAAAAAGGATGTTAACTTCTTAATGTTCCAAATAAAATGTTTCGAACACCAGTGATATAAGAAACTATTTAAGATTACAAATCAAATGAGGAGGAAATCCACGGTATAAACTGCGCAGCAGTACCTAATTCGCTTGTTCACAGAAAACGCCGGAAGGAAACGGACCACAGTCGTAGCGAACAGCCATCTCTAGGCGACAGGATCCCAAGTGGTTATTATTTTTTCTGCTTTACTGTCCAGGTTCCCGTATTTTCCATAACGTAGTATGTCACGTTATAATAAAAAAGAATAATACATTTAAAGTTCAATTATTCACTGTGAGCTTAAACTGGAGAACCGTCCTGTCTGGAATGCCGGGTCCAGCTGAGGGTGCAGGCGGGGGCGCCCACGCAGAAAGGCAGGCTGCAAGCCGTGTGCGGCTTCGAGGGGCCCTTTCCTTCTCTCCCGCAAACTAGCTGTACTGCCAGGGTGCCAGTGCGGCAGGCGGAGTAACGGCCCAAGGACATTCGAGTCCTCTCCCCCGGACCGGAGTCTGTGACCTCACCTGTTCCCTGAGGCAGGGCTCTCCAGTCGGGGACATGACTGTGATGGCCCAGGGAGTCCTTGTGTATGACAGAGGGAGACAGCCAGTGACAGAACAGATGTGGCTGACGAGGGGAGCAGTGACACGGTGGTGCCATACTCGCGGTGAAGACGAGGAAGGACCGTGAGCCACGGACGCAGCAGCCGCCCGAGGCCAGAAGTCGCAGCTGGATCTGGTGCCGTTAAGCAGCAATGGCCTGATGCTGACGCCATGCACGCAGGTGCCATGCCGACGTGCACATGCCTGTGTGCCACGTGTGTGCGCCGTGTGTGTCTACACACGGGCATGTGCTCATTCTAGAACAAAACTGCAAGGGGCTCTCCCCCTGCCAAGGTCGCCCCACGCCCCTTTCCCCACGCATCCAGGTCGCTTTGCACAATTCTGGGCTGATGCAGAACTTTTCCTGGTGGGGAAATGCAGCCCTTGTCCAGTCTGCGGGAAAAGGCCTCTGCTGTCCCGGGGAGCATGACCCCACACGCACCCAGAGCACGCCCTCCTTGCACTCAGGCTGCCCTGTGCCCCAGCACACTGAGGTCTGGGAGCCGGATCTTGGCACCCTGGGCCATGGCACAGCTGGGCCAGCGTGGGCGCCCTACTGGTTGACACCGTCAGGACGTTCCACGAAAGCCCCAGACTGGGAAAAACAGGCCTAGCTTCAGAGGGCCACGCGCGGGTCACAGCAGTGGTGCTGTGTGGCAGTGTTCTCCGTGGTGTCCCGGCCCACGTCCTGATGGGTGTCTTCCGAGGCTGAGAGCATGGGGTTCCCACCAGTGCTGGCCACAGCATGAGGGCCTCCAGCCTTGCCTGCCTGCACAGCGAGAGGAGCCCGGACCTGCTGCTGCCTAGGCCTGGCCTGCAGGCTCTCTATCCACAGGGTCCTCGAACCCTCCAAGCTGGAGGGACAGCAGCGACCCCAAAGACTCCCTCCCTATCCCCCTTCCAGGAGCCATGGGGGCCTACATGACAACGTGGCTGGTTCCTACCAGCTCCTCTGTGCTCAGCCACAAGCCGTTCCTCTGTGCGACACTTCCTCGACCACACGCCCAGCCTGCATGCCCACACAGCAGGTCACTGCAGCCCTGCCCACGTCCAGTCCTCCTCCCCTCCCTGGGCCCTGGCGGCCGAGTGGCTCCAGTCTGCCTCCAGGCCCAGCACTTGGCTCAGAGCCAGCACACAGCAGGTGCTTAATCAACGTGCGGGGCCAGGTACTGAGCGAACAGGTCGGAGCTGGTTACAGGCGGCCTCACTTCTCACTAGCTCCCTTTCAAACACACGCACTGCACGAAGGACTGGTGGGCACAGTGCGGGGCCCGGCTCAGCAGCCACCCGGAGATCGTGTGTGCCTCGTGGAAGCCGCTGAAAGCACCCTGCCACACGGGCCGGTCCCACACGCACCCAGAGCATGCCCTACGTGGGCCGGTCCCACAGGCACGCAGAGGAAACAAGCAGGTGCTGGGGTGTGATGCTCCAGATGGCGGCCGACCGAGCCCTTCGATTTCGAGAGCACTCTCACGAGGACGCAGCCGCGTGCCGTGACAGCGGGCACGGAGTG